TTAAATGCTCCCGTTTCTGGGACTTGACACCCGCGGGTCCGCCCTCCGCCGCGCCGACAGGCAGGTCCTCTCCTTAGCGCCCATTAGCACGGGATCCTTGTCTCCCTCGCAGCGGAGGCGTCGGGCACAGCAGCCGCCCCGCCGACCACCGTAGAGCACCGCGACGGCAGAGCGGCGCCGCCCTCGCCGCCCCTCCTCTCTCCCGCAAAAAGCACTCGCGCGAGGGCCGTCCGGGCGCCGTATCGGCCGCCATCTCCCCGGGCGGAGGGCGCGCGAGGGAGGACCCGTGTAAGTGGCGTCGCCGGGCCCTGATAGCCGGGGAACAAGACGCTTAACTCTCGTCACCTCGCGTCGTGGCGGTGTTAATCCTGTCAGCGGGTCTTCGGCGCTGACATAAAACCTTGGCGTCCGGCCGGCTCTCGATTGCCATCGCCGACCCCATTGGCAGCTGATTGCGCCTTCCACGCGAGGCCTCGAAGCGAGTTTTATCGGCCACCTGCGCCGTCGCGCTTACGGCAGAGGGCAGATGCAAGCCGATGGCGATTAGGCTCCATCACTCACCCGCGTGGCAGCCGGGAGTCGTCCCCAGCACGTCCCCCGGAGACCATTACCGGAGGAGGAGGAGGAGGACACCGGGATCGGGAAATGCGAGCTCGAGCTGTGTACAGGCGATGAAACCAAGCTTGAAGAGGTCTTTCGTCCGGGTTTACGAGGAGTTCGACGACGCCAGCGGTCCCGTAACTCTGCCTCTAGACGCTAATGCCCTTGGGAGATAAAGAGACGCTCTCTGCACTCCCTTTGACACCTGTTAACGCTGACAGGTGAGGGAGGTGGGAGCGGGAGGACGGGAGGGTGGGCGAGTGGGATGAAAGAGCGAGAGGGAGTGTGGGAGAGAGGGCGGAAGAGTGGGAGGGAGAAGAAGAGCGGAAGGAGGGAGGAATAGTAAGAGAACAGGTGGAAGAACGAGAGTGAGGGAGGCTGGAAGAAAGATTAAAAAAAAAAAAAAAAAAACAGTAAGGAAAGTAAAGAATGAGAATAAGAATGGAAGGAGAGAGAAGGGGAGAGGAAGAATGAGATAAGAGGGAGGAGAGCGGGGAGAGAACGAGACCCAGACCCGACCGGACGGGGGCTGTGGCCTTAAGAGCGCCACGGATGTTGTACGACACGGCGCTTATCGAACCACCTTAATTTATATCAATTATGGCACCGCCTCAGACCCGTCGGCCGAACGAGAAAATCTGGTCAGGGGCGATCACTGCGTTAATGTCTATTTTGGGGATGGATTCCTGCGCGAGGGGGAGGGGGAGGGGGTGGGAGAAGGGGTAAAGGGAAGGGAGGGAGGAAAAGGGGATGGAAAGGGGAAAGGAGGATAAAAAGGAAGAGGGGAGGGTAAAGGGAAGGAAGGAAAGACGAAGAGGAAGAGGGAAGGGAGGGAGGAGAGGGGAAGGGGAGGGGAAGAAAGAAGCAAAGACGAAGAGGGGAAAGGGAAGCGGGTGGAGAGAAGGGGAAGGAAGGAGGGAGGAAGAGGGGAAGGGAGGGAGAGAGAAAAGGGGAAAAGAAGGGGAAAAGGAAGACTACTTGATGGGGTCAGACGCGAAAGAGAGGGAAAGCTGTGAGTATGTATGTGGGTGAAAGAGTGAGAAGAGAAAGGAGAGAACGAGTGAGAGAGAGAGAGGGGGAGGAGGGGGAGAGATAGAAAATAGATAAATAGCGAGAGAGATAGAGGGAAGGGAGGAGGGGAGAGAGATAGAAAGAGATAATAGATAGAAAGGATAGATAAAATAGAGAGAGATAGAGAGGGAAGGGAGGGAGGGAAGAGAGAAGAAAGATAGATGAATAGGGAGAGAGAGATGGAGGAAGGAGGGAGGGAGGAGGATTAGAAAGGACAATTAGACAGAAGGATAGTAAATAGAGAGTTAGTAGAGACAAGGCAGGGAGGGAGAGAGATAGAAGAGATAAATAGATAGAAAGGATGGATATAGAGAGAGAAGAGAATCGGACATGCCAATCAGGAGACAAAAAAGTCAGACAAAAACAGGCAGAAAGATAGTTAGAAACAGGTAAATGCAAATTCCAAAGAACATTGATGACATAAAACACCCATTTTGACACACAAGATGATCGCCGTTTAAGGAACTGTCATAAATGGACACCCTTGTATGTCTTGTAAGGCAACAAAGAGGAGAAAAGAAGAAGTAATAAGAGCAGAAGTAGATAAAGAAGAGAGAAGAGGAGAGGGGAGAAGAGCAGAGAAAAGAGAAGATATAAGAACAAAAGATAAGGACCAGAAAAGAAAGAAGAAGTAGAAAAAAGAAGAGAGAAAAAGAAATAGAAGGAGGGAGAATAAGAAGCAAGAAGAAAAGAAGAAAAGTAGTGAGTAGAAGAAAAAAAGGAATAGAAGAAGAAAGGAAGAGTAGAAGAACAGAGAGAAGAAAGAAGAGAAAAAAAGAAAGAAGAAAAGGAAAAGGAAGAAAGAAAAAAGAAGGAGAAGGAGAAGGAAAGAAAGAGAAGATGAAAAGAAGAAGAAGAGAAGAAAAAGTAAAAGAAGGAACATTGTGGGCAGATAGCACAATTGACTACATATCATAGCGACTTTCTCAAGATATACTCCTCTCCTTGAAGAACTTAACGTTATCTTCTCTTCCTTCCCTCCCTCCCTCCTCTCTCTAGCCCTCCCTACCTTTCCACTCTCCTCTACCCCTTCCATTCTCCTGACCTTCCCTCCTAACGTTTCCCTCCCTCCCTCCTTACTTCTCTCCACATCCACTATCTCCTCTCAACCTCCCTAACTCCCTCCCTTCCCTTACATCTCTCTACATCTCCATGCCTACCTTTCACCCTCCCTCCCTTCCCTCCAATCCATCCCTCTTTCAGCCCTCCCTACCTTCTCACTCTCCCTCCCCTACCCCCCATTCCACTTCCCTCCCCCTACCTTTCACTCCTCCTCCCACTTTTCTCTCACCATCCTCTCTTCCTTCCACCTCCCTCCTCCTCCTCCTCTCCTCCTCTTCTCCTCCTTCTCTCCCTCCCTACTCTCACTTTCCTTCCTCCCTCTTTCTTCACCTCCTCCTCCCTCTGTTTTCTCCCCTCCCCCCTTCTCCCCAACCACCGCGGCAATTCTGTAATTAGAGCTCTTAATTACTAACTAGTGTCTCTTCGCCGCGAAGCAACACCTGTTTTGCATAATCGTCGTTTAAGCTGTACCGCGAACGAAGCTTAACGAGCAAAGAGGGGGGTTTACGGTGCAATTATATTCCCCGGTCCTTGGATGGACAGGAGGGACGAGGCGATGTCCTCCTTATGCAATGCTAACGAGCGACTGACAGCGCGGGCAGAAACGCGAGATAGAAAATGGGTCGGGGGGTTTGGGGGGGGGTGGAGCGTGGGGGGTGACTATTTTTTTTTTTTTTTTTTGGGCTTGTCATTTCACTTTCTTGGCAGTTATTTACATGTGTATTTGTTGATGAATAGCACTGTTGTAATTTTATTTCATTTATTTGGATTCGTTTTGGTAAGTCTTCGTATATAAATATGTAATATACATACATACATACATACAATATTTATATAATATATATATATATTATATATTATATATATAATAATATATATATATATATATATATTATATATATGTATGTATGTATGTATGTGTGTGTGTCTGTGTGTGTATGTGTGTGTGTGGTGTGTGTGTGTGTGTATGTGTCTGTGTGTGTGTGTGTTTATACATTATATCTTTTAAGGGGTGTTTTCCAATATACAACTATCATTATCCAAATATTTATTGCTCTTTAATCCTCTTATCACTCGACATTCGACCCTCACACGCGGACGCAACAGCACACACCACACACATGAACAAGCACCCTCTCCACCCTCCTCCCTAGCCCCTCCCAAAGCAAGAAAGAGAAAAAGAAGTAGAAAAGGAAGTAGATAAAGTAGAAGAAAAAAAACGAATAGAAGGAGAGAAGAGAAGAAAGAAGAGACGAAATGTAGAAGAACAGAAGAAGACGAAAAAATGTAGAAGAATAGAAGATGACGAAAAAATGTAGAAGAACAGAAGGAGACGAAAAAAACAGAAGAAGACGAAAAAAGTAGAAGAAGAAGAAGAAGAAAGTAGAAGAATAGAAGAAGACGAAAAAGAAGAAGAAGAAAATGAAGAGAATATAAATATTTTTTTTCTTTTTTCTTCTTCTTTATTTTTATTTTTTATTTATCATTATTCTTATAATATTATTTATATTATATATTACAAGCTGCGCCCCCAACCCATGTTCCAGAGCGAGCCAGGCGGACCAGAAAACGATCTTAAGACAGTGACACCCTCTCATAAGATGCGGTTCCTTAAGATGCTGTCACTCGCCTTCCCGGGAAATTCAGACGCAGCTGTGTGCTTGAAGAGGCTCACGTTGGGGTCGTCTTTCATTCATTGAGGGAGAAGTTGTTATTTAATGGGTTGTATTGGCGTGATTGTGTATTTATGGGGAGAGGGAGATTTGGCATTGGTGCTTAGGAATTTTTTTATGTATATATTTTATTAGTATTACGACACATGTTGATTTGATAAGTGTTTTTGGTTGATATACTTAGTAAAACGAAACTTTATTATTTTACTTTACATCATACATACCGACATAGAGCATCGCCTTATATATACTTACCGACATAGAGTATGCTTTATTATTTCATTAGTATTACTACATAATAGGTTGATTGATGATATTTTTTTTTATTGCTTGATATACTTAATGAAAATGAACTTTTTTTTACTTTGAATTATCGAATATATTTCCATTAGTATTACTACTAATAGGTTGATTCATAATTTTTTTCTATTGTTTGATATAATTAATAAAACGGAAACAAAAAACTTTTTATTTAACTTTACAATCCAACATACATACGAATACTGCATCCCCAACCCCGCCGATTCCGCATAACTCTACGGAGCGCCCGCATTTCAACTCTCTCTCTCGCCAACCCCCGCCTCTGTATTCCAGGCTGTGCAGCGGCACCTTCAGCCCCATTGCAAGTGCCACGGCCTCTCCGGCTCCTGCACTCACCGCACCTGCTGGAAGAGACTGCCCACCTTCAGGTCCATCGGCGCGAGACTCAAGGAAAAATTCAGACAGGCTATTAAGGTGGGATTCGATTCTGTTCGTTGTGTAAAGGATTGTTTTCTTTGGAGTAATCCGCTGTCTAATGTTTTGCATATATCTATAATTATATATATATATATATATATATATTATATATATATATATCTATTATATAGTATATATTGTATATATATATATATACTTATATATATATATATCTATTTATATCTTACTATATATATATATACAGATATATACTATACAATATTATATATATATAGTATATATATTGTATAGTATTATATATATACTATATAATATATATAATATATATATATAACATATATATATATACATATATATTAGATAGATAGTAGATAGATAGATAGATAGATAGATAGACAGATAGATAGTAGATAATAGATAGAAGATAGATAGATAGATCGATAGATAGTAGATAGTAGATAGATGTATGAAGTATATAGATATAGATTAGATATAGATATAGATTTATGACCATATACTGATATATAACTATATATATATATATATATATATATATATGAATATATAGTGTGTGTGTGTGTGTAGTGTGTGTGTGTGATGTGTGTGTGTGTGTAGTGTACATATATAGATACACGCATGATACACACACACCACACACACACACACACCCAACACACACAACACACACACCACAAACCACAGATATATCTATATGATCTATATATAATATATATTATAATATACACAATATACATATATATTACATATATAACATTATATATAATATATATAACTATCTTAACATATAACATACCCCTTTGATTTCAAGAGTCTCCTCTGCCGCCCCCCCCCCCACGGACATCCCACAGCCCCCTGCATAGCCCTTCTCCCCAGCGTGACTACCGAGCAAAGACCGGAACGAGTATCCGTCCAGTGGAGCGTTAACAGTCAGTCGACGAGGACTATCTTCCTGGATTGCCCGAACTTCTGAGGTTGGCTTGGTGGCTTGGTCGTCGTTGTGCAGCTGCGGATTGTTTTTTTTTTTTTTTTTTAGCTATTCTTTGTTTATTTATTTATTATTTTATTATGCGGGATTTTTTATTGATGATTTTTATTATTTTTTGTTTTGTATTTTTTTTTTGGGGGGGCGAGGGTTATTCGCCCCATGCTTATATGCTAGTGGGAGGAAAGATTTTTTTGTTTGTTGTTTGTGTGGTGTAGGAAGTGTTTCTGCTGTTTTAATTTTTTGTTTTGTAATGGTTATGTCGATTATTCTTTTATTATATTTATTTTTCTTTATTTATTCGACGTTTTATCTATTCATATTCTGCTAATTTGATTCAAAATATAATATTTTTTGTTTGCTGAAATGTTCCATTTCATTTTTTTTTTTATATTCTATTATCTATTCTTCTTCTGTATTTAGTTTATATAATTTGTTTTGTTGTCGAAATGTCTACATTTTCATTTCCAATCAGAAAATATATTTAAAAAGAAGAAAGACATATAAAGACCTAAAATCCCGAGATGAAATTAAACCAACTTGATACTGTCTGCCAAACACCTATCTTAATATCATCAATCATATCATTGTACCAGTAAGTGTATTTTTCATGCTTCCTCCCAAACCGTTGACCCAATAGCTTGATCCAGCATTCCCAGTTAAAGGTGTCTCGTCGAACATTTTTTTTTTTCCTCTTTTCTCTTTTTCTATTTTCTTGTCGTTTTCTTGTTCCTCTGTCTTCTCCTTTCTTTCCCTTCTTTCTTTTTTTTCTTCTTATCTTTTCTCTTCTTCTTTTTTCTTTTCTTTCTCTTTTCCTCTCTCCTCTTCTTCTTCCTTCTTTTCTCTAATTTCTATTATTTGTTCCTTCTTTCTCCTTCTCTCTCTTCTC